AAATGGAAAAAAAAGGTTAACAATAAGAAAAAAAAAAGAAGTCTGATTTGTCTAGTGATAATACTTAGTTGTTTTCATAAATTCTTCAGGTATCCAATGTAATTTGTATGTATATGCATGAACAGTTAGTTATCTAATCAAATAAATATGGAATATAATGAAACTGTTACATAGTTAATTGTAAAGTGGAGACCAATTTTACACATTGAAAAAAAGTCGTTTGTAATGAAGTAGGGTAGTTTTAGTTTTTCATACGTATGTACTGAATATTCTGAAGCATATTAGAATATAGTTCAAAGAACAAATTTCCTTACTTCAGTAATGTTCTATTCTCTCATTCAATACAATGAATTCACTTCATTCCACAGTTGTTTATCATTCTTGTTTCTATGATGTATAGATTAATGTGGAGCCAATAATTGAAACACTGATTGGATAGAAATTTTTCTTTTCTCTCTCTCTCCTTTTTTTATATTTTACTAATTTTCATATTTATCTTAATGTAACATTGAGAATAATTCATTTATCTATGTACTTAGATTGTAGAAATGTTAGTGGTTGGTTATATTTCAGTAGCACAGATAATGAAGATTTTAATCTATGTGATATAAATTGTACGCTTAAATTCAAATGTTGGTGCAAAATACCAGGGTTAAGAGAGTTGTAAAATATAATTTTCAGTGTCTTTTTTTTACAAATTCATGAACAGATTAAATATAATACTATTTATCAGAAAGGGGGTTTTGAGAAGATTGTAATGAATCAATAATCGAATTCATAGGTCGATTAGAGCTAGACCAGTATGGAAAACCAGTGGAGTTCAACTGTGTCCGTTTTGAGGCAGTAACTCATTGAAGATAATGGTGGGCGGTGGATTAGTTGAAGTTAGACATTAACACTGTTGGATGCTGGATCAGTGGTCTTCAGTTTAAGCGTTTGTGGGCGAAATCGAAGGTCCTCGCATCGAATCTCGCGAGCAGGATCGTGGATGCTCACTGCTGAAGAGTCACATACCAGGGTGAAATAGCCGTCCAACGCTTTCAGGTTATCTATGATTTTCTAGATTTAATTGACTAATGAATTCAACTATTATATTACTATTTACATCAATTACTTTATAAAACGTTTTCCAAATTACAGGTTTATATATGAATTAAAAGCTTGGATTTTATTTAATCGTATATATTCTATCTAAAATTGTGAACTGTTATTACTGAATACGTAAGTATTCATGAAACGGAATGCAATGTTCCATATCTAAAACATTGGCCAGTTTGCAATCGCAATGCAAAATGTAAAATGAAAGTATACAATTGAATTAATTAAGCAATAATCGTAATAACTGGATACTAATTTCTAAATTGGTCTTTGCGGGTTCTAGTGAACATCCATGACTAATGGAGTCCAGCAAAGTTAAGTTTTGGATAGGTATCACCAATGGCATTAGTTAAGGATAGTTTAATCTCATATATTGGCCAATTAATAAGATAGGGACAACTAGATTCCGACCAAATGATTCATTATTATCATACTCAATATCGAATCTGGTTGTTTGTATGATGACTAGGGTTTTGGTTAAGTATTTCTAGGCACCTAGAAATCATAACTATATTGTTGTTTATTTTCCTCTAATTTTCATAGTCGGCTTGTTATTGTTACTTAATGGTGAGAACTGTGTTAAAATGCATCAAGGCTTTAAGTCTATTATTGTCGACTAGAAGATAATCACGAAAGCAGTTGGCTTGCAGTTAAATCGTCAATCTTCAACAGAATACTTTTTTAATATC